ATTTAGATTTATAATAAAAGAAGAAGATAATTTTAATAAAAGTTAATCAATAAAAGAAGATTACTTAACAATTAAACCATTTGAATCAAAAAAAGATTTCTGAACTCATTCTAGCAGTTCAACAAAATGAACACATTATTACCTACCTTTATTAAATTAGTCTCTTCCAATCTTAATTACTTTAAATACATAAAAAGCCTTTAATAACTCTCCTATTTAATTGAGACACGTGAAAAACACGTGATCTATACTTGAAAGTTAATAAACCAATGAAAACGGTAACAATATATTAGTATAATAATAAATAACTATAATATATTATCAAAAATGAAAGAATCAATAATTGAATATCTCTCATACAATGAAAATAACTTGGAAGAGTTGAATAAATTTATAGACAATATATTTTATCTCTACTTATTTTGTTTAAGAATTGATATAATCTAGAATAAAGATCTAGTTCTTGATCAAATTAAGGCATGTCTTGAAAACAAGACACCAAAGCAATGTGAATATGCCATGCAAAGATTAAAAGAAAAAAGATCAATTAAGTTTATACAAATTTATGAATAAAATTTTTGTTTAAAGAATATTTTTTAGTACAATATATCACCAAAATGATAGAAAATTTTAATAACTATGTAGAACGAAAGCAAAAAAATGAACTTAAATATCTCAAAGATATCATTATAGATCTGGAATACGAAATGAAAGTGTTCCATAAAAAGCTAGAACATATTGTCGAACAATGTCGCTATATATATACAGAAATATATAATTATGATAATGATAATAGTGATACCTCAGATTCTGAAACCGAATTATTTGATGATGCGCAACTACACAAGTGTATTCCAAAAGATATAAAGATAGAAAAGATACATGAATCTAAAGGCCCTGACCGCGCCCATTCTCACTCTAAAAAGAAGCGTGATAAGAATAAGATATATTGTACAAAGGTAAGTAGAAGAGGTAAGTAAATCATGTGGACGCGTCCATATATTGTGACCACGATCTCGATTTTTCTTCACGGTTGACCCAAATTTGAATCGAATAAATGAGTGTATATATGTTAGTATGGCTAAGTCTCGAAACAATATGCGTAAAACAATGGGTAAGTTCACTGGCATTCCATCCCAGTATATGAATCTGCTTAATTCAGACAAATATGACCACACGTATGATCCCCGGAATAACTTCGTGGTAGTCGAGAACAAAAGTAAGGGAAGTATAGTAGGAATGTTTGATTATTCTGAACTATACGTATATTTGGAAATGCACCATCCGTCACTTCTATAATTTCGTTTTGTAGGTAGAGATAAGATATTTTATGTTGATCGCGCCGATAATCTGATTTATTTTTTCGTGGTCGTGACGTAGCTCGTGATATTATGAGTACCCTAGCCATGGCGAAAAAAAGTGTTCAAATCACGTGGTAACAGAAGAATCGTGAATTTTTTGATCTGCTGGTGACACAAACCAATAAAAATGCGTAAATTTTTTATCAGCCCGACAAAAAAGTAAAAAATACTGGAAATAAATGCCTAAATCTAGCTTGATAGACTAATAAAAAATGTCGGGAAGGCAATTTTATGTATAGTCTCGACTCCAGACCTACCCCTAACCCTAACCTTAAATTAATCTTTGACAATAATCTCTATTATCATAGAATTTTTCCGGATATACCCGAATATCACATGATCTGAACACTTTTTTTGATATTATATGTGGTTATACAGACCCTTATCAAAGGCGATCATGGTTCATTTCATGTGAGCTTTGCATATGTTTTGAGTCGTGGTCTTGTTTTCAGATATACGACAATTGGTATTTTTTGATTAAACGAAATTTATTTCCATTTTCTCGTTGATCATAATAAATGACTATACCCCTCTTGTGAAATTTTCAGAAAAAATACCATTTTCAGTGATATAATATCAACATATGAGTAGTTAGTGAAGGAGGCGATGTATATAAATATGTAAAAAGGTGGATATTTCAGCAGAGCTGGCACGACCAAAAACTTATCTTTATATGAGTTATGTCTACCAATATTTCATGCCTCGAAACTTTTGCCCTAAATATTCTGCAATCAAGAACTTTTCCTGTATGAAATAAAAAAGCCAATTACCATACTGGTCTGTGGTAATATATATCATCGTGACTGCATCGAAAGCTCTATCAAAAAACGTTCAATATGTCCAAGGTCCGAATGCAAAAAGGAGGTGGAAGACACACAGCCTCGAGACTATGTCTCATCTACGATTGATAGCATGCCTGGAAGTCAGAATATCAACGATCTTATGGATATATCCCCGTTACTATTTGCCGACCCTCAATATATTCAAGTTCGCCTAAAAAGCATGCCAGCGAAACCGTCTCTACAGAAAAATCTGGCAGTAAAAAGGTTAAAAAGGTGATTGAAAAAAAGTCAAACGAAAAGAAGGAATCTAATATTCTGAATAAATTTATCGACAAGTTGATCTACTTCTGTATTACATATGAATATGACAAAACTTGAGACGTTTATTCCTCTATATCAAAATATCACCAACGCTGAATCTAACAATAATAAAGCGAGCCATGAAGTATTGCGATCTTATTTCGCTTTTGGATTATGGATATCAAAGCGTTATGAATTTCACAGAAAATCTAATCCAGATCATACCGCACAGGTCTGTGTTAATGATAATATTAAGGAACAGTTGATTGAGACAACACTTTGGAAGAGAACAGAGAGGGCTAGAAAAATTTATGCTATTTCTTCCGAAGCCGGAGAGGATAAGATACAGCAGGTTAGATCTTTAACGGCTAATACTATATCAAAATTGCCTTGGTATTGACTATATCGTTATCAATATTTCGAAAAAGAAACAAAGCATTTCTTGACATACTGCGCCATATTCCACGTGACATCCTGACCGGCCTGGTCAGCCAATTTAACAAATAATGCGTTGTAAAACTGTAACAAAAAAATAAAAATTAGTTGATATCTTGTGCAATTAAATTATTCAATGTTTATCATATGTCAGAACTGATATACTCCCAATGATATCCACCAGCACGAGTTTGATGTCCTCTGCATACTTTCCCAATACTTGCTTGATCAATTCCAGTTTCGCGTTGTGCTTCAGCTAAGGATGGAAATTCTTGGAAAGATCCATCATCAAACATTTGCTTGACAGCACATCCAACCATCCTGAAGCCTGAGACACACTGCATGTTGTACATTGTCTTTCGGTATGCACCATTCGAGATTAGACGCTTTGTTATTGGTAGAATCCCCATCAATATGGTTCACAAATTCTTTACATTCTTCTTTAGGGCAAAATGCTAATGCTACCAAACGGTGAACACGATATTTGTGAATATGGCCAATTCGGTAATATCCTGCACATAACGATCCATAAGTGATTAAGTCATTTTTTAATTGAACTCTTCCTAAAGATGAAACTTCGAATTTTTGTGTATTTCTTTCCATTCTTCATTGGGATCTTTTTTTATATAATCCATCCACCAACAGTATTTCGCTTTCCATTACAACATTCTGTAATGCTATTTCCTGTGATTTTAAGTGTATTACCTGCGAGAGAAATGGAATCCCAAATCCAAACAACACCCTCACCTAATGTTTTCTGCACGATTCGCCTAGAACTACCACGACCAGTATTCGGAAATACTCTACGGTTAGCATTTTTCTGAAGGAGTCACCCATTCCAAATTAATAGCTCGATTGTCGGACCGGATGCCATTAATATGATTAACACAAGTTTTATTTTCTGGATTAGGAATGAATGATCGTGCGACTAAAATATGAGTAGCAATACTTGAACGAACACCAGTCTTTTTGTTGGCATTTTGTTTAAAAATCATACCTTTTTTATTCTTGATACGTCTGAGATTGGAAACTAATAAATCTGAAGCAGTCGCTACTGGCAACCAAATCTCCATTATGATGTTTGTTATTTATTGTGAACACATTTCTTAAATTTAAGGAAGGGACACAAGTTCATACAATTAGGCATGTATTGTTTGATGAAACTAGATTAGTTAGCACTTATATTCCAAGTTGCCTTATAAAGTTTTTTATACTATTACGATTATAAAAATTTCATGCTTAAATAAATTAACTTTGTCAGCAATTTTGCTATTTTATTTGTAATGTAATATACTACATTTGATGAAATGGGATATTGTTTCTATATCATTTCCTACACAACTATCTATTGTCTCAAAATTCGAAATTTTGAACGATTCAAACATTTCAAACGAAATTATCAGTGAATGCTCAAATATAATTCATCTAGTCATGTACCTTTAATAAATGTAAATTGCGTATTATTAATATTGTTGTTGTTGTTATTATTATTATCAATAAATGTTAATAGTTCAGGTTACATTATACAAAAATAATTATTGGCCCGCTGAAACTATATTGTACAATACGCAAAAGTAATACAGTTAAATTGTCAGAATTGCATCTTGCAATCTCCATAGATCTATAATATAGTTATTGGGTACACCACCGGGAACACCGCCAGGAACATCGTTAAAAAGTAGTACAGTAGGTATATCAATTTGATATTCTAGCATATTGGTATGATCACAACGAATCCGCCAAAATCGTCAGTAATCATATTGGCTGAACGCGTATAGTATTTAGAAGATATGTTCGCGAGATATCGCTAAGAGATGCTGTTCCGAAAGACTTCGCAATTACAGGTATTGTTGGATTGGATTGTTACGTAAGTAGTGCAAGAAGCGCAAAAGTACCATCCTGGCGAGTTGGGTACAACTTGATGGCTAAATAAATTTGGATAGTAGTCCGTTGAGAAAAATATTTTGCTGTCAATTCGTGTAAACTGTTTAGACTTTCAGTATTGCCAATCTCAACCACCAGAGTAGAATATGGATTTCCTGATGAATTGACTGCTCGTGAGGATTGAGGTTGATGGCGATTCAATGGTCGAACACAAATATCAGGACGACATACACTTCTTGTATCCACAATAACATCTAATTCAATAATAACTCGCAACCGAACACTCCAATTATCCATAATAGCAGTTAATTTTGCTTGTACCAGTCCGTGAGGGTCGAGAGGCATTTCGTAAGCTTCAATCTTTCCGTCGATCAAACGGTGGTTAACCGAAACTTTTGGTTCTCCTTTACAGAAGTTAAGTATTACGTGATACTTCTCTGTCAATAATAATTCCCTTTCGTTTTACTTTCTCGTTTCCTTCTTATAGCAAGAAGCTTGTGTCTTGCTGAATCAAATGCTGAGGACCATTTAGAAAATAATTTCTCGTTCTGCGACATAATACTTGAATTATCTGATGGATGTATCTACAAACAATTGCAAAATCTGGTGTCATAGTTGAAATTCAAATTCCGCATTTTTGAATGATCAAATCTGACTATTCTTTAAATGGCAAATCACGTGAATTGCGATTTTTAGCAGATCAACATTAAAGCCAACATAAAATAAGTGTTTTACATCGGGTTTGTGAAAAGTAAATTGCATATAGTGTTGTACATGTGACATAGAGCCCCAAGAGAGCAACCTCATGTAATCACGGAAAATGATACAGTGAAAAACACTAAAAGTTATCCAATAAAAATCTATTTATATTAATTGAAATTTTACATGCAAAATTCATATAAATTAAGGTAAAAAAATTTTTATATTAATTTTAAATCGATCTATTTTTATAAATATATTTAAAAATTGCTGTTTAGTTTCAGTTTATCAATCACGTGAGTAAATAACCAATAAAATTTAATTCATGTGAGTATAACAGCCAATAAAATTTAATTTATATGATATATAATTAATGAATTTGCTCACATATTATTATAATAGAACTTCTAGTAGGTAATATTATGATATAAATATTTAACCAACATTTTATTAATGACATTTTATAATTACTCAATCTCATTATATTATAATTATTTTGGGATTATTATGTGATGTATTTTTTTTATTCATTAGACAGGCTCTCACTATTACTAATAAATATTATATTTACTTAATATATGATAGTTCTATAATAATATAATACTAATATTCTATAGTAACTTTGGTAATTATCCAATAGTGTGCAATAAATGCAAGTATTTAATAAGTTATTATTTAATCAATTAATGTACAAAGTTTATTAATAATAAACAAGAAACAATTTATTAATTAGCTAAATTTTGTATTGATCAATTAATACTTTTTTCAAAGTTTTAATTGTATACTTTATTTATAATAAATATTTTTCACTAATTAATATTATATTTAATATAATTATGATAAAAATAATATATAGACAAACCTCCCTAAATGCACCCTCTATAAGTGCACATCCTCTCTAAATGCACAGTATGGCTGGATTCTAGCTTATAAAAGCTCTATATATTTTGCTCTCTATAAATGCACACACTCTTTAAATGCATGCTTTACTATGATCCCAAGGAGAGTGCATTTAGGAAGATTTTTCTGTATGTAATAAATATAATAAGTATAATATAAATAATAGATAAAGAATTTTAGTTAAATTTAATAAATATAATAAAGATAATATTTATAAAATATTGAAATATTTTTAAAGTATTAAGAAATTATAAAATTTTATTTGTAATAATGTGTTTTTATGCATAATTTTACCCATTTATTAAAGATAAAATTGCAATTGGCTACAACTTGATTATAATTTTTTGATTAATTATTACAATTAATTAAGACATCATCTTTATTGTTTATTAATATATTATATTAATACTGAAAAAACAAGAAAAGTTAAAAAAAATTAATTTTTATTAAATAATAATATAATATTAAATAGTAATAAAAATACAGATATATTAAATAATAATATAATATTAAATAATAATAAAGATACAAATATATTAAATAATAATAAAAATATTCTTATATAATCAAATTTATCTATATTTATATTTATTTATAATTATACTTTCTTTTTTATTTATATATAAATATAGTAAAAAAATTTTTTTATAGTTATATTTTCTTGATAATTATCAAATTTTGCTTTTCTGAAAGTGATAACTATAAAAAAATTTGATATTGATACATATAATCTAAAAAAAGAGAAAGTAATAGAAATTATTTTTGAAAAACTCACAAAAAATTAAAGATAAAAACTTATATTGAAAATATATTGATAATTTTAATTGAATAAAACAATAAAAATTAAAACAAAATAATAATATTTAAAGACTGTTATAAAATAATACAATTTTTCAATAGTATAAATAATATTGATATAAAAAGAAAATGAAAAATTATTAATCAAATTATTTGAATTATAAAAATAAAATAATTTAGCAAAAAAATTATTATAATGAAAACAATAACTTTAGAAAATAATTTATAAAGTACAAGAAATAATTAATATGGTAGAAATATCCAAGTTCAATAAGATAAGATATATTTCTGTTATTTATTATTTGTAACTAGTATTCCTATGAACTGAACTGAACCGGACTTTTGCCCAAGTTCAAGTTCAGTTCAAAATTCGAACTGAATTCGAACTAAACTCGAACTGAACCGTTATACAAGTTTGAGTCTGGTTCGAGTTTGATTAAAGATCAGCATATAATATCATATACTGATTTGTAGCTCTAAATATAAGCTACAACTTTATAATTTATGGTATTTAGTAAGAATTAAAAGTTTACATAGTGTTACCGTTTTGAGCTTTTGCGTATGAAAGTATTTCAAAATTGCAATAGTGATTGTGTTCACGGCAATTTATTTTGAATATTGTAACTAAATTGTGTTTGTGACGATGAATGATGTTTCTTGACAAGATAAAAGTAACGAAAATACTAAACTAATAATAAAACTAAACTAAAAGGTAAACTTTAACCAAAAATTACTTATAATTCCAAAATAAAATCAATTTAACATGTCAAACCTGACATGAAACCAAAAGAAACTCAAAACAAAAACTTTAAGAACTTAAAATATGAACCAGAGAACTTAAATCAAACTGAGAGAACTTAAATTGAACTAAGAGAACTTGATTTTTATTGGTTATTTACTCACGTGATTGATAAACTGAAACTAAACAGCAATTTTTAAATATATTTATAAAAATAGAT